GTTCCAGTTTGTTTCTTTGTTTTATATTACGTTTGATTCAGGATCTTTATAAAACCCATTGTGCAACTGGTTGATGTACTTCTGAAGAGTTTTTGAGATCTCTCTAGCCCACTCATTTTGGGATTGGAGGTAGGGAGAGAAGAGGGATGGAGCATGTGTGTGTGCATGTGTGTGTGCATGTGTGTGTGTGTGCGTGTGTGTGCGTGTGTGTGTGTGTGTGTGTGTCTGAGTATAAATTATTTCCTGAAGGAATAGGGTTGTCTGTCTTGCTGAGTTTACTGCAGTTTGGATTTTGAAGTTTGCACGGTGGTGTCACTTAACATTACAGGCTGACGTCCATGTATCAAGGAGGTTTGTGGTTGGAACCAAAGGATTGATCATGATCATGTTTTGCTGAATCTTTTTTTTAAGTTTCCAAGCTGGGATACCTGCCCAGACCCACTAAGTCATGAGTAGTTGCAAACAGTGGTAATCGAGCTATCTTATCCTGTATTCATTTATTATCTTACCCTTATAGTATTCTTTAAGGCTTCAGTCTTCCACAGTAAAACGCATTCATTTTAATAGGAATTTAAGAAAAAAATTTATTAATACAACGTTTTGAATATACAAAACACACACACAAAAATAGGTGGGAGAAAGTTGCCCACACTTTCTAACCCCAGGTCCAAATTGGCAAAATAGCCAGTGTCTGGCTGCCTCCCCAAAGATCAAACCAGGAAGATTTATAGGAGGAAAGTAGGATGAAAATAATAAGAAAAACCTGGGTAGAAACTGCAGGAAACTGTTGAGATTGTGTTTGTTATTTGTTTATTTGGGTTTTGTTTTGTTTTGAGACAAGGTCTCTCTCTGTCACCCAGGCTGGAGTGCAGTGGAGAAAACATATCTCTGTAACCTTGAACTTTTGAGCTCAATTGATCCTCCTGCCTCAGTCTCCCAATTAGCTGGGACTATAGGCATGTGCCACCACACTCGGATAATGTTTTAATTTTTTATTTTTTTTTTTAGAGATGGGGTCTCACTATGTTGCCCAGGCTGGTTTTGAATTCCTGGGCTCAAGGGATCCTCCTGCCTCAGCCTCCCAGAGTGCTAGGATTACAGGCGTGAGCCACCACACCCAGCCCTGTTGGTATTGTTTGTGTGTGGGGGAATGGCATAGACATACGTACAGCTCTAACAGATGCTGCCAAACAATTTTCCAAAGTGATTCCTCCAGTTTAACCCCCGCCCCCGCCTTATGTTAATGATCCAATTGCTCCATACCCTCATTAGCACTTGGTATTGCTGCCTTTTTTATTTTAGCTAAACTGACGTTTTTAAAAGAGGTTAACTGGTTTTTTAAAAGAGATTAAAATTTGTTCACATTTTTATCATCCACTCGTTTATCCTCTTTTGTGTAGGATCTATTCAAGTCCTCACCCATTTTCCAAGTGGACTTTTTATTTGGTTTTTTATTATTTTTGTCTGTTTAGCTGACATAATTCTTTATGTATTCAGGCTTGATATACTTCACTGGATGTAAGAAATGCAAATATCTTCTCCCACTCTGTGGCTTCCCACCCCCTTCCTCTTAC